CCTCCCACAAGCACACATGCCCTAGGGCAAGAACCTCTCAAAAACAAAACAAAACAAAACAAAACATGGTATATCATTTTATTTCACATCTTTTTATCTTCTTTTAAACTTGATCTCTCTCTTCCTTTTTTTTTCCTTAAATAGGTTAAACTTTGTGGGAAAATGTCAGATTTTATAATCTGTAATATTAGTTTTCTAAACTGCCTCTCAGTGTACCAGCCTCTTTAAACTAAACTAACAAGCTGTATTTGTCAGGACCTTTAGGGCAAATAAGATAATGGTTTCCTTCTGATAGTAACTATTTAGTTATTAAGTATGATTACAATAGATTTCTTTTTTCTTTTTTTTTTTTTTTTTTTTTTTTTTAGGTTTTTGCCAGAAGGCACATGTGCTCACCAGAAAGACAGAGAGACAGAGAGACAGAAAGTGAGAAATCACCCCCCAGGAGGGAGGGCCACGCCGCAATCCCTTCTCCTCCATTCTCCTCTTGGAATCTGGGTTATGCATGCACATGCACCCGAAGTGAGTTTAAACCACCGGGTCCAGGACTCGAACTGTGGTCAACTACATGGGAGTCCAGCAACATAGCCATTATGCCAACTGATGGTCCCAGATTACAACAGGTTTCTAAAGAAGGTGACAATGCATTGTTGACTAAAATTAGATATTAACACAGATTTGGAATTTTAAATTGAAACTTCAACTATTTAAGTACAGCATTAGTGCAACTTTGTATTAAGTGGGAAAAAAAAACAACCAACAAACAAACAAAAACCCCACCAAACTGCAAATAGAAAACAGTTTCATAAGGGCCTGCATGTACTAACCTGCCTGGTCTTTTTTGGTTAGACCATTTACATAATTGTATCTGGGAATTTATCATCTTTGCTGCTTGTTAACTGTCTTTATACTCCCAACTTATTTTTATCTCAAGAAGAAGAATAATGATAAAAGCAACTACTGTTCATCAATATCCTACTGTATTAGGTACTGTATTCAGTGTTTAATGTATATTAATTTCTTAAATTCACTGAACAGCTTTCTAAGAATTCTTCTCATTGTACATATCACACAGTTGAAACTAAGAGGTAGAGTTGATATTTAACTAAACAAAATTTTTTTAACGAGAGGTTTTTGCCTTTGGGCTTGTGCGCTGCCAGAGAAAGAGACAGGTCCAGTGAGAGGGAAAGTGAGATGTCACTTTCTGGGGTGATGGCCACTCTACAGTCCCTTCTCCTCCTGGGATCTAGGAAATGCCTGCACATACACCTGGTATGAGTTTGAAGCCACTAGTTCTGGGACTTGAACCATGGTCAGCCACGTGGGAGTCCAGTGATGTAACCACTATGCCATCTGCTGGCCTCAGATATTTAATGTAAATCTACCTAGCTCTGAGCTCTGTGGGACCTTGGACTGTAGTAAGGGACTCCCAGCATGTGTGGGTATGTGTGTGGATGTGGCATCTGTTTGTGAGTGTGTTTGTAAAGCGTTTTTTGTTTGTTTTGGGGAAGTAAGTGGGTGTAGAGAGGAGTCAGAGCTTCAACAAACCTACTAACACTGCTTTAAACTACAAAGGCTTTTATAATGTCTCTTGCTCAAGAGCTGCTATTTATAAAATAGTTAGTATGTTTTAAATTTTAACTTCGTAGATATTTGTTGGCCTGCTATTATTTGGTAGATTCTAGGAACATATTTTCTGGGAAGCATTGTTAATCCAACTTAATAAGACATAGTATAGTAATTAACATTGGAACTACCAAAAGACTGGGAAGATTACAAGGTAAATACTTATAATCTGTGAGAAGGTTATAAAGTGAAGTCTGTTTCCAGGTAACAGGATTATAAAGTAAATCTGTTTTCAGATCCTTTAGAACAAATAATTTAATTATAAACAGTATGATAATTTAAATCATAAACTATTTTTATTTATCGAAACAGCCGAAACCTTTGCTTTACATATATAATGTGCTGTATATTTTCTCTAAAGTAGTAAAATAGTTGTATAAGCATTCTAAGATCCAGAGACTTTCCAGGCCAAATTAATGTGGCTTATCTGTATTATGACATATTTCAGATATACCATAAAAGGTGTAAAGAATTTTACGCTCTCCATATACCTAATATCCTGCTTAAGACATATAATATTGCTTGTATAATATTTTTGAAACTCTTGTGGACTCTTCCCAAAATATACAATTCTTTTTCTGCCTGAGATAAGTTAACTGCATCTTTTACAACTTTGTGTAAATAACAGTATACTCTGATCTTTCTGCAACTTGCTTTTTTTTTTACACAGCATAACTTTCTTTTAAAGAATTATTTATCTAATTTTATTTATTATTATTTAAAAATTTTGCTATAGCGCACGTGTGCTCAACGATAGAGAGAAGGGGGAAGAGGGAAAGTGAGAAGGCAAGCCTCCAGGTTTGGGCCTTGGACTGTGGTTGACCATGTGGGAATTCAGCGCCTTAGCCACCATGCCACCTGCTGCCCCTCATAACCTTTCTGAGCTTCTCCCTGTAAATGTGTGTAGCCCTCATCTGTTTTTACTGCCGTTCACACCTGCTCCCCTGTGTGCTGTCGTTCCCTTGGCCATTCTCCCGTTGGTGGTTTGGTGGGTGAGTGGTTCCAGTTTTGCTATTGTTAAAGGAAAAACTTGAGGCAGTTTAATTTAGTGGAGTTTAACTGAGCAAAAGGAAACACAATTCCAATTGGGGACCCTGGAACGGCTTTCAGGAGACTCTGGGTGGCCTCGTGGTTGTGCAATATTTAAGTTCCAGTGGGAGAAAGTAACATATGTTGGAACACAAAAGTGACATGCAAAAAATGGAAGTGGGGGAAAGAGATAGAGAAATAATTGGACTGTTTACAGCTTGAAGTTTGTCTGAATTAATATAGTTTAAAGGACAGGATGTCTGTGATTGAAGCGTAGCTGCTGTGATTGGCTGTGACTTAGCAGCTTTACCAAGGAAGCAGTTTTCCAAGTGAGGTTGCAGTTCGCTTACAGAAGCAAAAGCAGGAATATGGAGGCCTTCTCTGGCCAATATATTTTAACATTATTAATGTTCTTTTGCAGTTGTCCTTGTGGTTATCTTGAGAGATACCCAAGGGTATCTACTGTCTTAGTTCATTTTTTTTTTTAATAATAACAGAAAATTCCTGAAACTGGGTGATTTTTAAAAATAGAGGTTTATTCATCTTATGATTTGGAAGGCCTAGGCCCAGGGGTCATGCCCAGTGGGGGTCTCACAGTGTCCTGAGGCAGCTCACTCAAGTGTAAGGGCAGAGCAGAGCAGCTGTCTGTGAGTATCTCAGTTCTGGTCTCCTTCCTCTCCTGCAGCCCACCAGAACTCAGTCATGGGGACCCCACCATGATCACTTAATCACTCCCAAGGCCTCACCTTTCAACACCATGGAGATACTAAGTTTCCTTGTAATACCTTTACACCTGTACAACCAAATCTCAACACATGCATTTTCAGGGAATACATACTCTAGTGTTCACTATCCGTGAATGAAATTGCTGCATCAGAAGATATGTGTGTCTTCATCTTTACTAAGTATTGCCAATCTGTTTCCAAAAGCAGTACTCACTGGGTACCTACCTTCTCTAATTCTCATTGTTCCACGCACTTGCCAATACACTAGGTATTGTCAGACTTTAATTTGTTATTTTTGACTGGTCCTGATTACTAGTGAGATTGAACATCTTTTCTTAATGTATTAGTGTTATAGGTGTTTTTTCCTAATATTTACTCTTATTGTATGTGGTGGTTGAAAGTTTCCTACAAAATTGAAAGCAACAGGAAACATCTACCGCTAGATAGAACTACACCCTACTTTTATCTTGAAAACATTGGTGACTTTGCAGATTATTTTTGGAGGACATAATTTGGTAGCATGTTAGAAAGCGTGGGCTTAAGTTGACACTTGAATCCTGGCTCCAGTATTTACCAGCCTTTTGTCCTGGAGAAATCTTTGTAATCGCTCTGAGTCTCGCTCCTCATTTTTAAAATGGGCATAACACCTCAGAGCTTGGTGAGAGCAGTAAATGGAAGAACTGTTAACACCTGAGAGGTAGGACGGGTATATGGTTCTAGGATGAAATACTCAGACTCACCTTCAGTAATGCGGAAGCTGGACAACACTGTGGCAGCATTTGTGAGATTGCAATGCTCTCTGTTTTTAGTTGACTCTAATATATATAAGGGTCCTCAAAAATGAATAGAAAATGCATATTTTAGAAAAAACTATGAATGGATTTAAAAATTTTTGTTTTAAGATAAACTCATAATTTTTAAAAAGTTTATTTTTTTATATGTGAGGGAAGCAAGGAGAGGGAGAGACAGCATGCTCGCAGGGTCCTGACTCCACGATCCACGCCCAGCCTGGATCCACCCCCAGCCATGATATATCCAGTTCTGCATCATGGGTACACATATGCCTGGTCTCCCTAACAAGGTCTCTGGACTCGAACTGGGAACATTTCCATGAGAGAAAGGTTTTCCTTTCCACCCAGTGTTTTACCATTGTACTGCCATCTGGCCCCTAAACTTGTACGTTAATTCCATTTTTCTACGAACTTTTTGAAGGTCCTACATATAATTACTTTCATCTCAGGGCCAATTGAGACCCCGTTGGCATATAAAATGCAAAGCAGCCTTGTGTCCGCCGCATCTCTGTGTACGTGTGTACTGCCCGCCTCATCCAGGATGCACATAGACCCTTATGCTGCTTCTCTTCATTTTGTGCTCTGTTTTCTGGAAGTCAGCACATCTTGAAGAAAGCTGCCCAGGACCTCAGTGGCTAGGTAGACGTAACCATGGGACCTCTGTGAGTGCCCTTGGAACCTGGCTTTCATTTGGGAATTCTGTCAGTCTGCTATACCATGCAATGTGGCACAGAAAGGTTGGATGTCAGATGGTAGAAATTCAGGTTGGTCACTTGTAGATGACTGTGAGTTGTTGTCATTTAGCCTCTCCTCATGTCTCTTGTCACAGGAATTTCACCACATGGCCGCTGAAGGAGTGACCATTACTGTTCGCCTCATTCGTTCATTTGAGCATCGCAATTTCAAGCCTGTAGTATATCATGGAGTTAATTTGGACCAAACTGTAAAGGAATTTTTAGTATTCCTAAAACAAGGTATGATGTTATAGTCATTGTGCTTTATTAGTATTTTGAAAAAAATAATTGACCCTGTCATTAGTAATAATCTCTTAAAGGTAAAAAGTTCTTAGAAAACTATTGTATTACTCTAGTTTCTAAGCCAGGCTAGCTCCTGGTCTGGGTCTTGGCATGAGCACAGTGCTTTCCCCACGGGCCCCTGTTTTATAATGTGTGCTCCCTCATCAGGGATTGTTATCACTATGATTGTTTTTAATTAAACAAGAAATACAAGATCTAGATTAGTTGGGTTTCTCACCTCTGTCTTTAATTATTTTTATTACAGTACGCATAAGTTCTTAGAGTTGATTAACCAGGGAATGTAGTGTAGCTAATAGTATGACCCAGCTGATTTTACAGGGGGCTTCCTGGGGGAGCATGACAGGAATGCGGCAGAGGTCTGTAGAGCCAGGAAATCAGAAGAGCTGGTTGTTCATCTCACTGTGCTCACAGAGACAGTGTGGTGACTAACAATGGTAGTTTATAATATTGAACTTAAAGTAGGCAGGAAATCAGTCTTCTTCTTCTTTTTAATAAAGTTTATTTATTGTATTTATGATAGACAGAGGGCCAGCTAGTGGAGTAATAGTAAAGGTGGCTGGATCCCACATGGCCAACTGCATGCATCCAGTCCTGGACCTGGCAGCTTAAAGAATATGCTGGGAGTGTGTGTGTATGTATACTTGCCCAAAATTCTGGAGGGAGAAATGAAGGAGAAGGGATTGCAGTGTGACTATTCCCTGTGGGGGTGCTTTCTCATTTTTTCTCTCTCTGTCTCTACAGCAAGCACACATGCCCTCTGGCAAATTTAAAAAAATCTAAAAAATTATATATATATATATATATATGTGTGTGTGTGTGTGTGTGTATGTGTCCTATCTCTCACTATTCATACAGAAACTCAAAATGAATTAAAAACTGAAATATAAAGCCCCAAAATATAAAACTATTTGTAGAAAATGCAGCAGAAACACTTTAAAATACTAGAACAAGCATAGCTTTCTTTTTTTGTGTGTGTGTGTGTAGAGGTGTTCTTTTTTTTTTTTTTTTATTTGCTATAGGGCGCGTGCGCTTGCCAGATAGACAGCGAGAGACAGAGAGATAGAAAGCGAGCACACACCCCCCAGGGGGGATGGCCACGTGGCAATCCCTTCTCCTCTCGGGATCATGGGCACACACACACACACACACCCGGCGTGAGTTTAAGCCACTGGGTCCGGGACTCGAACTGTGGTCGACTATGTGGGAGTCCAGCAACATAGCCATTACGCTAACTGCTGTTCCCAATAGACATAGTGTTCTTAAATAAGACCTCTAAGGCACAGACAACACCACCAAAAATAGTTGAGTGGGATTATATCAAGGCAAAACACTTCTGGACAGCAAAGGAAATGATAAGCAGTGTAATGAGACAACCCACAGAATAGGAGAAAATACTTGCATATTGTATTTCAGAAAAAGGATTCGTAACCAGACTATTTAAGGACCTCCAAAAGCTCACCCATGTGTGTGTGTGGGGGAGACTAATAATAATTCAATGAAAAAGGGCAGTTTATCTGAACAGACAACCCTCAAAGGAAGACATGAAAAAATGATCAGCATCTCTTGACATACAGGAAAAGCACATCAAAACCACAATGAAGAATCTTCTAACCCCAGTCAGAATAACAATCATTAAAACACACATACACATACACACATGAATAACAAATACTGGTGAGGTTGCAGACAAAAGGGAATCCTCTTTTACTGTTGGTAGGAATGTAAGTTAGTGCAATCCCTTTGGAAAACAGTATGAAGTTTTCTTAAAAATCTAAAAATAGAACTTCCATATAACCAAATGTTTCTACTCTTGGACATTTACTCCAAGTACAGTAAATCACTCAGTTGGAGAGACATTTGTACATTTGTGTTTATTACAGAATTATTCACAATGATGGAGACATGAAATAAACATAAATGCCCAACAGTCAATGAATGGGTTAAGAAAATGTGGCACTGGGACCAGCGGATGGCATAATGGCTATGTTTCTAGACTCCCACATAGTCGACCATGGTTAAAGTTCCAGACCCAATGGCTTGAAACTCATGCCAGGCATGTGTACATACATGCCCAAAATCCCAAGAGGAAAATGGAGGAGAGGGACTGCGGCTGATTTCTTACTTTCTGTCTTTCTCTGTCTCTCCAGCAATAACCAGACTATTTAAGGACCTCCAAAAGCTCACCCATGTGTGTGTGTGGGGGAGACTAATAATAATTCAATGAAAAAGGGCAGTTTATCTGAACAGACAACCCTCAAAGGAAGACATGAAAAAATGATCAGCATCTCTTGACATACAGGAAAAGCACATCAAAACCACAATGAAGAATCTTCTAACCCCAGTCAGAATAACAATCATTAAAACACACATACACATACACACATGAATAACAAATACTGGTGAGGTTGCAGACAAAAGGGAATCCTCTTTTACTGTTGGTAGGAATGTAAGTTAGTGCAATCCCTTTGGAAAACAGTATGAAGTTTTCTTAAAAATCTAAAAATAGAACTTCCATATAACCAAATGTTTCTACTCTTGGACATTTACTCCAAGTACAGTAAATCACTCAGTTGGAGAGACATTTGTACATTTGTGTTTATTACAGAATTATTCACAATGATGGAGACATGAAATAAACATAAATGCCCAACAATCAGTGAATGGGTTAAGAAAATGTGGCACTGGGACCAGCGGATGGCATAATGGTTATGTTTCTAGACTCCCACATAGTCGACCATGGTTAAAGTTCCAGACCCAATGGCTTGAAACTCATGCCAGGCATGTGTACATACATGCCCAAAATCCCAAGAGGAAAATGGAGGAGAGGGACTGCGGTTGATTTCTTACTTTCTGTCTTTCTCTGTCTCTCCAGCAAGTGCATGTGTTCTATAGCAAAAATCTCTCTATAAAAAGAAGAAAAAAAAGGAAAGAAAATATAGCACATATACACAATGGAATATACTTAATAACAAGAAACAACAGAATCCTTCATTCGATGCAAAGTGTACAAACCTAGAAGATATAATGCTACATAAAACAAGCCAGGCTATGAAAGACAAATATTGTATGTCTCTACTTAACATATACTGAATTTTCACACTCTGTGGCAGAAGCTGAAGGACTAGATGGCACTGAAGTAGAGAATAATGGAAGATACCAGAAGCCACATGGGTAGAGGATTTTGGGGGAAAATTACAAGAATGCCTGTAAACAAGAGAAATAGGTTATGGAATGGTGTACCATACCAAAGTAAAACATGTCAATTATTCAATATATATCTTGCTCCCAAAAATACTAGTAGCATTATTATTTAATGTGCACAACATAATGTAAAGTTCACTGTTGAAGATGTTTGTAACTGATTTGATAATTACACACTGTGCATGGTGTGAAAAACCATGCTGAAACCCATGACACACATATAAATAAATTTTAAAACAGAAAGAATGATTATTTAAAAACAAAGCAAAAAACTTGTACTTCATTTCCATTAAAAAAAAAAAGAGTGGTTCATAAAACTTTTTACTGTAGATCCCTCTGGCGCCATCTCTAGACTGAAGAGAATCTACAGTTGTCTTCATTGGTTAGCCTTTGTTCTTCAGATAGATGAGGAGAGGCAGATATCTTTGTCTTTGTAAATCAGTGTCCTGCCTTTAGGCAAGTAGCGGGAGGGCAGAGAACTTCCCTGCCTCTGCTTCTTGATTGCCTTTAGTGCAAAACAGTCCTTATGCCAATGAAGCATACGTTGGGGTGGTATAGTCTGGTTTCTCACAGTGTCAATTACACAGTGTTCTGCTTTTATATATCCAAGTTTTGAAATAAAAAACAAATCCGTACATTATTATTTTTAGATCTTCATGTGTGTTATGGATTGTAATGTTAGTGTTGATATAGCACGTGCAGTGATCTTCTTGGAACACCTCAGAATTGGTTCACTTGAAGTCCCTGAGGATAAGCTGTAATTTTCAAACTGCTACAGTGGCAGGAGTCCACTTTTCTTTTCTGTGTTCTTTTCTTCCCACGTAGCAGAGGATGCCCAACTGGCAAGTAGTATAGGGTCACAGCCAGATAACCAGGCCTGCCTACTCAAGTCTTATGCCTGCCTTGGTAACAGCTTAACCAACTTCCAATTTACATGTAGGTAACTGTGTTCCACTGTCTAAAAAGGGAACTTTTTTAAAATCTTCTTATTTATTTATTTTACATTTTTTCACAGACATTTACTTTACATATCAAAATTTTTTTTTTTTTTGCTCATAAAAGTAGAACTTAAGAGTGGCTCGTGGCTACTTGTAGGATGGGACTAGGAAAGAGAGGGGGATAATAGAAAGTTTAACTATATCCACATTGCTTTTTGTACTTAAGTTTTACAAGTTTATCCATTTAGTTATTCCATGAGCAAGAGAGACAAAGAGCACCCCAAACAGAGTCCTATCATCACAGTGTACCTCCAGCTCTGGATTACGGGCATGCAGGCCCAGCATACTGCAGGAGGTCTCTGTGTATGAACCCAGCGCTTTCCAACGTGGGTCACACTTGCAGAGTGTTGGATTTTACTATTGCACCATTTTCCAGCCTCTCATATTGCTTTATTTAATAATAATAAAGGATTTGAAGCAGTTATGAGAATATGTTAATGTTTGTTAAATTTGGTTGGTGAGTTAAATGAAATTTTCATTCTCCATACTCTTCTGTAGTTTAGATGATTTCATAATTAGAGTAAAAATCTTTCTAATGTAGCTTAACCTTAGAACCTTACTCTCGAACCTGGTAGACCACCTTATCAGGTTAGAGTGTTGGTACATCGTTTTGAGTGACATTAGGTCTTTGGTATTCTCTGTCCATATGGTTTAGTCATTGAGTTAGTTACCTTCATTTCTTTCCCCTTTAGGTGTTTGTGCTTTCCTAAAAGTCTTCGATTTTAAATCTATCATTTG